AAAAAAAAAAATTTTGAATTTACTTACTTGTAGCCGGAGTTAGAGGCGGTCAGATACTTATGACCGCTACTGTAATAGTCTAACTACTATAATTAACGAATCTATAACCTTGCTGATACGATTTTATAAAAGTAATTATATATACTACAGTATTTAGTCGATTATATAACTGGTATTTCTTCATTTCTATCCAATTACTAGGATAATAATAATTATATTCCTTGTAACTTGTGGCCCATTTGGCTAGATATTCTTTAATAAATTTTTAAGCAATATTTTATTATATGCTTTTTTAATGCAGTCAACATATTTATTGGTATGCAAATCATATTCTTCTTGAGTCAGAGGATTTATTTTTCTTTCACTAGTTGAAAGTATACCTAAATATTTCTTCCTATCAGAAGTATCATCATTTTTCACCATATTCCAAACTCATTTTGCCTATATTTTAAGTTTTAACTTAAAAGCTCTTTAAGCCTGTTGGATATTTTTTGCACTATTAAATATATGATATGCAGTCTTTTTCCAAAATTCATAATCTGCATTACATCTAATTCTATAACCTCAACTAGAAAAATCAGTATATTTATCATAAATCTCATAAATTTCATCTTCACTTAATACTGATGCTATTTTTTCTCCTTTTTTCTGAATAGGATTAGAATATGTAAGACACTTTTTAGCTGTTTTAGCAATGCATTCATTTAGATGTTTATTTGCATATTCGATGGTATTTTCACAGATAAACACCAAAGAGTCGCATATAATATAATAAATATAATAAATATTAAATGAGTGTTTTCCAGCTTTAAATCCTTATCTATATATACTCTTTTAATCATTTAAATAAATCCATTCTTGGAAAAGTATTTTGAGTTATATTCAAGAAGTTTCTTAAATGAATAATGAACACGAGAACATCACATTTCTGGTGTTTCACCACTATACCTATATTGCATATTCTTTAACACCTGCACTATAATAGGATTTAAACCAAAATAGTTAGTTTTAACCATTTTTATAGTTTATAACTGATCTTAGTGATTTATAGCGTTTTAGCAAATTATAGAAATTTCAGTATGTTATATCAATTTTTTATCAACCTATACTAGAGAATATCATGATTTAAATTTATAGCAATTTTATTGATTTGTAGCCAATTTAGTGAAACTACATATTGTTAAAATCAAAATTCATTTTTTATTTGATTGGGAATTTATATCATTTACATGTATATGCACAGTGGCATGATATACTGTATATTGTATCACATAGATTTCTCTAGTTCCTTGATAGTTCTAAGAATATTCCAGGAGCTGGCGAGTTTTGATGCACAGCTCCTTTGGCTAAATCGTGAGATGATCAGCCCTTTTTTGAAGTATAGCTTCTGCAAAAGTTAATCTAATTATTTTTTCTGAAATTATACATGGTATGGTAAAGAACCACAATATATTTTAGGCGTACCATCAAATTAGTATTAAAATATATTTTCGTCAAGTCACAGATGTAGTAATGTGTGATACAGTTCACTAAAACTATTTACGAAGCATTTTAGCAATTATGTTTTTAATGTCATCTATATAATAGATGATAGTGAAAAAGTTTTAATTCTTCCTATACCATTTTGCATATATGCTCAAAGCCCGAAAAAAAAAAATTCCAAAACTTTGATCATTACCAATGGTAACAGTTTTTGCCAAGAAAAATTTCATTATATTATCTGACCATAAATAATTCACCAAGAAAAAAAAAATCAATCAAAAAACAGGAATATAAGCATTTTTCTGATATATACCCATTTACACAAAAATGTATACATGTGAATCGATCACTAGAGTTGCTTTATTAATACAGAATACAAATGATTTAGCTTGTAGCTATAAAATTTTAGTTTACAATCCCATTTCATGATCTAGGATAGAATAAATGGTTGCCAATTATACTTAGATGGCAGTGACAGAAATAAATGAACATAACCCACCTTTTTATATATGCTCGAAGCTAAACCTTGATCTAACTAAAAAATTTATAATCACCTCGTTCGTAACTTTTGTCTTTCAAATACTTCAATCTTCGATACGTAATTTTATTTGGGTTCAGTTTATGATTAAATTTTTGCAACAGCTAGCGACTAGACTAGCCATAATACAAAAGGATCATTCTTGACCTGTATTATGGTCCTAACTTGATTCATTTGCCAAACTTATATATTTAACAATTATTTTACAATAGGATCAGTAAGCGAGTCAAGTTAATACTATCAGAAGGGTCAAGTTCAATCCTTTTACAGCTGTAATGACTAATAATCTGCTGAATCATATGATTTACACAATCAGCCATAAATAGAAATTTTTTTAGATTAGGACAATGATATTTATTAGGTAATTTTTTAGGAGGTGGGAGGTAAGCAAAATTCTTAGGTTACATATATTAAAATCTATCACGTGATATAATTATTCGTTATATAATAAATCAGTCACGTGATTATCAATAACTGTGGTTTAGCAAATTTATTAACATGCGTCATTTAAATAATCTGTACATTTAGAACGCATTACATTTAAAATGCACACATTTAGAATACATACATTTAGAGTATATACATTTAGAACACAAAAATTTAGAATGCATATATTTAGAATTTACGTATGCATACATATAAAAGATATCTATTCATTATCTAAAACATATTCTCTTAAAGATCTTTCGTTTAATAAAAGAATTTTCTCTCTTTGTTATAAAGAAAGAAGCGAAAAATCTTTTATAGTCAAAGAATTTTGCTTAATTTGACTTTTAGATTTTCCTTTAGATCATTCACAAGAATGCTTTGTTCGCTTGTGATTTGTCAAAAAGATGAGAGTTAAAAAGTATTTATTACATTCAGAATAGCAAAGACATGAATTAGTTGTTCTGTTAAGCGATGGACAGTGTGAATCATATTCAGGAACCTTTAAACAATCATAATACTTGAGAAGATTTACTGGATTTGTATAATATCCTTTGCTTTTGTGATAGGAGGCAAAAAACTATTATTTACTTAAAGGAATTTCATGGCTTCTTTTGCACAAGGTGGCTCATAGCAGCTTATATTTGTACATCATTTGATGTCGAAAGAATACTGATACAAATTGCAATAGTTTTCAATCCATGACCATGGTACAAAATATTCAGTTAAGTCAGTTATTTCTTCTTTCTCTTGTTTCTTTCGTTTTTCTTATTTTTTCAATTCTTCCGCTTTCTCTTTATCTGTACTCTCAAACTGCAGATTTTTGAATGAATTTTTAGACTCTTCGATATATTTAGCATCTACATATTTTCCAAATATCAAATCGCAATTCCAAATGTCACAAAGCGTCTCTCCGGTATATTTAAAATTTTGAAGAGCCAATTCCAGATTTATCACTTTGCCTTGTGTGTTTAAGTACACTCTAAAGTGATTTATTAGCAGACTGTATCACTTCCTGATTTTTGATAAGTATTTTTCTTTTTTTTTTCTTTGCATTTTCGAGCATAACTTGCATTCTTTTATAACTTAGTAATTCTCTCTTTGTTAGATTTGATTTTAGCTCAGAGATCCTCTATCTTTATGTACGTTTCATGCTGAAATTGAGGATTAGTCGTAATATTATAGATTTGTTCAAATTCAGTAAGGTTCTTCTCAGCTGTTGCTATTTCATTTGCTGCCTTTTTTTGAACTGATGCATTAACAGGGATTTCTGATACAGGATCCACTGGATGAATAATAGGAAAAGCTGGGATGGGATTTTCTTTAGGTATAGGACATCTTGGTCTCAAAGTTTGTATATCATATAGATCAAATGGCGTATCAAGGTAATTTCTAATAATATCATCAATTTCTGTTTCATTCTTAAATTTGATCTTGTTCCATTCTTGTGCAGATTCGTGACAAACTTCAACACGGTTAGGAGTACCACTTCCTGTCTTAACCATAATGCTATATACATAAGCATTTGTGAAATCCTGATACTTATTTGCTGGTGACTTATATATTAGTTTCTTGTTAAACTTAGGGCTAAAAAAAAAGGTTTGACGATTCATTTTACTCTAATACAATATTGATGCTTTTTTTTTTTTGAAAAAGGTTTTGCAGTGAAAGTGTTAAAAAAATCGAACGCGTTATGAAGATCCGAAACTAGTTTTTGTAGACGCGAAAAACTTTCTTCCCGCGGTAACGTGATCATCATGGGACACATCTCGCATGATTATCAGTGTATGACCGATAGAACACTAACACGATTATAGAACACTTTGATTTTTAGAACACGATTTTAGATTTTAAAACATTTATTATTTTAGAACATATTTTAAATTTTCTCACTGATGTATGATTCTATAAAAGGCAAATGATCTATATACACGTGATCAGAATATCTTACCTGGTAGATGCTAATAATAAAATTTTATTAGGTAATAAATGTCACTGCCCTTATCATTAGTCCTTCTTTTAACCATTAAAATTTTTTTACTTGCTCGGAATGGCCTATTATTTTCGTAGGAGCGTTTTACCAACTCGCCTCGTTACCCATCAAGCCATGTTTTCTCAACCGCAAAAATTTGCGTTGAGTAAATCAAACCCTGTTCTATTTCAATCGTCGCTTTCGAGATTTTACATAAAGTTGAATAATGTGAGCTGTTCTGCTGTCCAATCCAAGAGTCGGCTATTTTACTATACAAAAGCAAATGAGAATAATAAAGAAAGTGTAGAGAAAAATGAAAATGTAGAAGAAAAAGAGGAAACGATCGTAGAAAGGACAGGGAAACACGACAATGAAATTGAGAAGACACCTCCACCTCCTTCACGCACCTTTTCCGATAAGTCTTCTCCCTACTTTGCTAAGTTTGCAAAGGACACTGCAGAAAGTCTTCCGGTATGAGCATATTTTGTTGTTTTCATGCATTGCTTGTCAAGTTTCTCAACACATTTTGCTGTTTGTAGACTGTCTTGGCATATTATTTTGTTGGTGGTATTGCTTTTTTTATATCGGGAGACAATTTATATTCTTGGTATGTGAACTTTCGTAATGAGTGTCTCCTCAACAAAACCATGGAAAAAGGCACTAGACCCGAAACTGATGGTTCGGATGATGAATTAGTTCCTCGACCTGAAGTCTTAGAACGACTCATGAAAATTCTTCAGCCACATAAAAATCACTCATTTTATCATATGGTCTGTGGAGAACATGGAACCGGGAAAACAACACTAACCAGGATGGCATCAAGAGAAGCAGGACGGGTTAAGGATAAGGACAACAAAGTTATAAAGGATGGCGGAATGGGTATCATATATGTTGACGTTCCTGCGAATCCAAATCTCAACAAGTTTGGTGACGCGTTTGTAAAAGCCATCAACTTCACATTTGAAGAACATATCTCTTACACGAAACATCTGGCGCGAAAATTTTTTGGTGCAACTGAAGGTAAGATTATAATTGATGCTTTATTATTAAAAATATGCATTTCTTTGATACCGATTTTCATTCTTATAGAAACAAATGATCCGAAGTGGGAAAGAGCTATGGATGCCTTCAAGCGCGTTGCTGAAGCGTATAAAGCAAAGCACGATAAACCTCCAGTCATTGTTTATGACAATGTTAGTCGATTGGTTCATAAGAACCCGGAAATCCTCGATATTCTCCAGGACGATGCAAAGGACAATGCGGATGACCGAAAATACATTGCTGTATTTGTCAGCAGTGAAGGTTCAGTACCTAGAAGGATGGAATGTAAGTACTGACATGATCTTTTTTATGCTCCTAAAATAGTATTGCTTACAGAGCGTGATTCTTATTTTAGCTCGTAGTGCATGGTCACGTGCGAAACAACCAGTGATTGAAATCGGTGACCTTAGTGAAAAGGAATCAATGGAATATCTGATTAAGAAGCGCAAGATTAATGAAGTAGAGGCGAAAAAATTATACGAATTGGTTGGTGGTCGAATTGTAGAGCTGAAGGATGTGGCAGATGATTTTCTGACCGGACAATCCTTTGAAGGTATTTGTTATTTTGCATCAAATGAACTTATGTAATTCTGCTTTGGATTAATTGCTTAACTTTTATATAGTCATTAAACAGTCAATTTTCACTAAAGTTGAGAAAAAATTTAACACTGCGCAACTCCTCCGAAAGCAATTGCATCACGAAGTAGGAAAGAAAGCGATCAAAGCTATATTGGACTCTAAAGAGTTGGGATTTACAACGTTTATGGAATTTTTCAATAATTATGAAGAAGCCAGCAAAGTATTGGAAACAAATATATTTGCATACCATCCAGAAAAAAACAATGTGAGCTTCCAGTCTCAATCGATAGAATGTTATATTCGAGAAAAGAAAGACATATTCATTAAATAGCAGAGTTTTTAATAATATACTGTAGAAGTTGCGTAGAAATTTACAAAATAATATATGTATGTATAATAATGTAATAACTAGTGCATAATTAATAAAGCTGATTAAAGAAATAAAGCCAAATATGGGCAAAACTTTATTAGTTTTTTGATACATGTAACGATTACCATAATATTACTGCGCATTGATTTATCAAGCTTGACCGAAAAATAATAGCATACTTTGCTCTACACAATTTCATAACTCACTCCATGCGAAAAAATTATAAAATGTCTGGTAAATTTGCACCATTGCTTTATTGATCAAATTACTTGAGAACATTCACATTGCTTATAAATTCCTTCCGCAACCTTCTTACACCTTTTGCAATATAGATGTGAGTGATGATCGAATTCCTCACATACCTTACATCCTTGCTTCCATCCCCTAAATATATGCCATTTTTCAAAGTAGTTCTGCTTTAGCAAAGCGTCTTCCAGCTCCTTATAAGCTGTACGGTTTGTGTCACAATAAGCCATCCAATAAATTTATCGAACTTAAAAATGAAATAAAATTTTTTTTAGTGCCTA